AAAAGCATATAGAATATGAGTATAAAGAAAGGAAATATTTTTGTACAGCTATATAATGTATTTGTGTTTTAAGCTAAATGTTATCATAAGAGTCAAAACTTAGGAAAAACTTACAAAGCTTATGAAGTAAAAATGTTACAGTAAGCTAATTTATTGTTGAAGAAAGAAATCTTTTAAAAAGTAAATTTAGTGTATCCTAAGGGTACACTGTTTATGAAGCCACAGTAGTGTATAGTCATCCTGCACCTTCCCATTCACTCACCACTCACTTGCTGACTCACCCAGAGCAACTTCCAGTCCTGCAGGCTCCATTCCTGGTAAATGCTCTATGCAGGTGTACCATTTTTTATGATTCCCTCATTGCTGGATGCTATCTTTATGAGATGGCCAGAGTACACCTCTTCTACTAATTCACTTGCCACTTCTAGCCTAGACAGTCACCCTTGTTAAAACGGTAGAGGAAGTACAGTTACAACTGACTTTCTGGGAAACGTGATACCCACAAGGTAAGATATAAAGATGGCAAATGGAGACATAAGTCCTGGCCATATACTAGGGACTATGATATTTGCATATTACAGCAATCTGTAGTATGCCATCGACCCAGTGGTGAGTGTTGGGAAGCATCTGGGATTGCAGAGCTAGCACAAAGTGAAACCTCCTGGAACAAGGGGCTGAGCTGGGAACCTCCACTGACATGGTAGCAACACAAAACATAGCCATGACCCACGTGACAGGGGAAAGACAGACTCATGAAATTTGCCTATTGGTCACTACCCAGAGTGTATAGACCCAGCCTCATTTAGGAGCAAGAAAAGAGAAAAATATTAATTTGACATCATGAAAAAATGCTGAATGAAGCATTCATATATATGAAATATCATAGAGACTTGTGGATTCAATGACAAATGTTGTGTCCCTAGAAAATGTATACAAAGATTATCATTGAATTCACATGATAGAATCATCCCATGCATAGGCAAAACAAGGTCTGCCCTTCACAGTATTCTTTACAAATGCTGACACAAAGAGGGAACTACTCAACATCAAATCTAGTATTTTAAAAATTGATTTAGAGTATCCAAATATTAAAAAGTATTAAAGACTATTCTAGAACTATTAAATATCACTTAACATGTTGACAATACAATACTGTGAATGAATTGAAATTGTACCTAAGTGTCTATGTGATCCTTTTATTTTTTTTTTTTAGGTGAACAAGTGTATTTTTTTTTATTATTTAAACCACTTTGAGTAAGGGGTTTCTGTTACTTGAAGCCAAAGGCATTCCAATTATACAGTGTTCTTTTTTTCAAGTTGGTAAATTTTATGTTACATGTTTTATTTTATTTTTTTTTATTTTCATAGGTTTTTGGGGAACAGATGGTATTTGGTTACATGAGTAACCTCTTGAGCAGTGATTTGTGAGATGATGGTGCACCCATCACCCGAGCAATATATACTGAACCTAATTTGTAATATTTGATCCCTCATCCTCTTCCCACCCTTTCCCCCTAGTCCCCAAAGGCCACTGTATCCTTCTTATGCCTTTGCATCCTCATAGCTCCCACTTAATGAATGAGAACATACGATGTTTACTTTTCCATTCCTGAGTTACTTCACTTAGAATAATAGTCTCCAATCCCATCCAGGCTGCTACAAATGCCATTAATTCAATTCATTACTTCTTATGGCTGAGTAGTATTCCACCCAGTAGTGGGATTGTGGGATCAAATGGTAGTTCTACTTTTAGCTCTTTAAGGCATCTCCACACTGTTTTCCACAGTGGTTATACTAGTTAACATTCCCACCAGCAGTGTAGAAGTATTCTTGCTCATTTTCATGGCATCCATACCAATGTCTATTTTTAAAATATTTTTGATAATGGCCATTCTTGTGGGAATAAGGTGGTATCACATTGTGGTTTTGATTTGCATTTCCCTGATCATTAGTGATGTTGTGAATTTTTCATGTTTGTTGGCAATCTGTTATCTTCTTTTAAGAAGTGTCTATTCATGTCCTTAGCCCACTTTTTCATGGGATTGTTTGCTTTTTTCTTGCTAATTTCTTTAAGTTCTTTGTAGACTCTGGATATTAGTCCTCTGTTGGATGCATAGATTGTGAAGTTTTTTTTAAAGAATAGGTGTTACTGTGTATATTTATAGTATACAACATGATGTTATGGGATACACATAGATAGTAATAAAAAGGCTACTATACTGAAGTAAACCAAAATATCCACCATCTCTCAGAGCTACTCATCATTTTTTCTTTTTGTGGCAAGAGTGAGCAGCTAAACTTACTCATTTAGCATGAATCCCAAATACAGTACAATTTTACTACCCATAATTATCATCTTGTACATTCCATCTCTAGACTTGTTCATCTTCCATATGTGCTCATTTGTACCCTCTGACCTTCCCATTTACTTCCTCCATCCACCATCCCCCTCATCACTGGTAACCACTGTTTGTTCTCTATCTCTGTACATTTGAATTTATTTTTAATATTTCTCTTTCTGTGTCTAGCTTAATTCACTTGGCATAATATCCAGGTTCATTCATGTTGTGGCAAATAGCAAAATCTCACTCTCTTTAGGGCTGAATGATATTTTAGCATATTAAACAGTGACACACACACACACATCACAGTTTCTTCATCAATTTGTCGATGATGGACAAAGGCTGATTCTTACAGTATGTTTCATAACTCCAAGAATTTCCCTCAGTAATTATGATGCAGGTCAGACTCACACAATTCCACAGTAAGTTCATAAGTCTAGACTAACACAGAATAGCTCCATGGATTAAACTTTGGTACTTAAAATGTTTCAATCAATAATAATTAGAAAGATGTTAATTTTCAGAAATATACATTTTAACATTAAGTATACATGAAATTAGAATTTTTTTTAACTTCTGGTGGTTTATAAGATCTGTTGTTTGAGCTTCAAAGTCCTTGCAAATAACTACTTATGGATGAAAAAGATGATTAATTTTCAGCAAGAAATTATTCCCCAAAGTTTGTTTTTACTATCTACCTTTTAAAAGGAATAATGATAGAAGACGATGAACTTCTACATCAATATTACTTTAACATAGTACTCGAAAATCTTAAAAAATATATCCCTCAAGGGAAAATATTATTCCTAATTTATTAATGAGGAAAATAGAACTATTCCTAGTCCATATATATAAAAATTATTTCATCTCCAATCAAGCACTTCTAAAATGCTTTTTCCTCAATAAGCCATTTATGATTTTCATGTGTTTTTGGTGTGAAAAATGTAGACAGATAAAAAACAAAAAGGAAAAGGGGAAAAGAATGCTGCAGTTGTTTAAGACTCATAAACAGTGACAGTAGAGCTTTTCTCAGCAATTGCCTGGCACCCTGCAAAAGACACACAGATCATCTGTCTTGATTTCCCTTTAGGAATTAGCAGTCTCTATTTAATGTCTGGTTTTCCAGTTAGAAGTTTCACACAGACACAAAAACAACAGGCTGCTAATCACAGTGTTATATAAATGTCTATATCAAAGTACTGAGGTAATTAACTTATCTGTTAGATTTCCCTATAGAATATTCTGGTTACTATAGAAGCATTTATTTAATTTGTTTTAGTCATCAAGGAGAATACAATTCTCACAGTTGTGTTTGTTATTTTATTACTTGACAACAAATTGTATTTGCTATTTTATTGCCTCTGAGTAAAAATACGTAATTGATTACCTATAATGAATCCGTTGGAAATTGGCTACAGGAAAATGCAGGATTATTAAATTATTACAGAAATCTTTTTGGTTAATCAAGTTTATACTCTTCATAGCTGACATTCCCTCATTCTCCTCTTTTTTCTCATCAGCAGAACCCAATTTTGACTGTTTTACTACCCTTCTCCTTTGAAATCTAAATGTCTTGGGCAAAGTTGACCCTACCCCTAACTTATGGGATGAGGTATGATTAATAGAAACCAATCAAAATACTCCTTGGTGTCTGTGGGGAACTGGTTCCAGGACATCCCTTGGACACCAAATCTTCAGATGCTCAAGTCTCCAATAAAAAATGGTATAGTATTTGTATATAACCCACACACATCTGTACATCCTAAACCACCTCTAGATTACTTATAACACCTAGTACAATGTAAATGGTATGTAAATGGTACAGTTATTATACTGTATTGTCTTGGGAATCAAGGAAAAAAAAAAAAGCCTGTACATGTTCAGTACAGACACACTTCTTTTCCTGAATATTGTTGATTCCTGGTTGGTTGAATCCATGGATGCTGAACCCATGGAAGTCTATTGTACTACCATCTTTTTGGCCAGAGATTGGTTCAGGATTATGCTAATCAAGATTTGGCGGGCTCTTCAGCTAAACTGACCTAATGAGTCCAGGGGAACTTCTGTTTCATTGTGATGGGAGAGATTCTCTGTGTTTCTTTCTCTGATCCTCTGTCTTTTTATCTCATGCAAGATAGGAACAAGAAAGTATGCTTCCCAAGTCACTGCTAGTGCACATCTTATGGAAGAAAACCAGTCCGAGGACAGAGTTGACATATCAGAAAGATCCTGACCCAGTGTGCCTGGCCTCCCTACCCCCCACCTTCTCCTATCTTGTTACAAGAAATGAACCATTTATTTATGATAAAAGCCAGTTTTATTCGGGGTTTCTGCAGCTTACACAGGAAATATCCCAACTCATTCGTATGGCTTCTAATAACAAATCCAAGTTCTTTCTATGGACAAATTAATTTTTTTAAGTTTAATTTCCTTAAGTTCTTTCAGGAAAGGATAAACCACCTTAGGCCCTAAACACACCCCAGTCTGAGTTATTTGTTTTCATAGACCTTTGTTCTCCTACCTCAGCTGCTATGAGATTTCCTGGTGCTCCTAACTAAAATGTACTTTAATCAGAAGTCATCATTAGTCCTGACAGGTCAAGTTCCTTCAAGAACCCTCATATCCAGACTTGAAATTGGCCCAAATGACATGACCTACCTTGGGCATGCAGATGACCAAATGACCTGTTGTCTGAGATCTTTTAGCAGAACTACTATCGGGTTTCACTTCTGCAGGAAGGACAAGCTGAAATGGCTGAAAATAAGTAGAAAGTATCATTGAGAGCAAGGATGTTACATGAGAGGGTGACTACAAGGGGCATTTTCATTACAAATTCAAGATACACCCTTCAATTAAGAAATGTGCTTAAACTTATTAAAAATATTTATATGAGCTGTGCTTTCTGTGCACGAACTATTTTACCTATTTTAACAAACAGTCTAAAGAACAGCTGTCAATCACAAACAATGAAGTGCTTATGGGTTCAGTTATGACTAAAAAGCAATTTATAGAGAAAGCCTTGTAAAAAAAAATCAACATATTTCCATTTAAAAATCTTTCAGCTAATCTTCAAGCCCATAGTAGCCTAAATTAGCAAAAATTGGTATTTTAGAAATTATAAAATTATAGTTGTTATGAATGAAATCACTGACAATTTAGAATGGCTGTACTATTTAATTTCATGCATAGGCTCCCACACATATGATTATGTTATTAGTTTTGAAAAAAGTATAACACAATAGACACAGGTTTAAAATATTAATGATATCCAACTACATATAGTCAGCAGCCATTCCCACCATATACCACTCCCATATATAAAACCATGTGCTAAAAAAATAGCACTCTGTTTGGTTCCCCTTTTTCTATTTAGTTTTGTTTTATTATATTTATTTATTTATTTATTTATTTATTTATTTTTGAGTCAGAATCTCACTCTAGTAGCCCAGACTGGAGTGCAATGGGGTGATCTTGACTCACTGCAACCTCCGCCTCCCAGGTTCAAGCAATTATCCTGCTTCAGTCTCCCGAGGAGCCGGGATTATGGGCATGAGCCACCATGCCTGGCTACTTTTGTAGTTTTAGTAGAGATGGGGTTTCACCAGGTTGGCCAGACTGGTCTCCAGCTCCTGATCTCAGGTGATCCACCCGCCTCGGCCTCCCAAAGTGCTCGGATCACAGGCATGAGTCACTGCGCCTGGGCCCTTTTTCTATTTTAATAATACTTTAAAAAAAGTGAGGCACCACAGCTTAGTTCAAAGCTTAGCTTTTGAAATTGTAATAGTCTACAGGGTTCTACTTACCTTTCCCTTGATCATTACTCGCACGTAAGTTGGTTGCACATCAACATTGATTAAAGAGGTATCCATATACCTTCAAAATTAAACACACAGTATCCTATAATTTAAAAAATATATCAACTTTGAAGAAGTGTAAATACAAATTCACACTTACAGGACGATTTTAAATGAAGGACGTTTAAAATATCCATGCTAAACGGGTCTTTAAAAAATTAGTTTTAAATTAATCCCCAGACCAAAGGAAATTCAATGTATCAGCAATTTCATTTTTAGACCCACAAGTACACTTGGCATTGATTGCCCCTAACCCAAAAATATCTGAGGTCTGAAACACCAGAGGTTTGCAAAAAACAGCTTGCCATGCTCTTTCACAAATATTTTATTTTAAGCCCCTAAGACTTGAATAGCCAGGAATGCTGATTCTACTCTGCTTGAGGCCTGCAACCACCAGTTCCTGCTTCCTCGGCGGCTCTGGATCCCCTGCAGCTGTTCTGCAGCTGCCCTGATACTATCTCTCCTGGAAGACTAGCTTGCTTCTCCCCTCAAAGGCACATCCTGCTGAATAAGCAAACCCTTCTGTTTATGGCAGTGACCTCAAGATCAGGTGGCAATTATTCTTCTCCACTCATGAGCAAATTAAAGATTTAGATTTCATATTGCTCATTAAAATCAGAAGCTTAGCCAAATAATTATGTTCACATACTTCAAAATACTAATTGTGAACATTAGAAAATACAGAACTGCTTTAAAAATCACAAATGTTAAGGCAGGTAAGCTAATACAAGGGTTACAGGCATAGGTTTGGAGTCACACAGGCTTGTGGGGAACTGGCTCCACCTCTTCCTGCTTTATTACCTGGGACCACATTCCTTAACCTCTCTAGGTCTCAGTTTCCTCTTCTGTAAAATGGGGATACTACTAGCATCTAGCCCTAAGATTGTTAGGAAGGAACATGTATAGTGCCCAATACATAGCTAGAGTTAATCAAGTATTATTATACAGCATTTAAAAACAATTTTTATAATAATAATAGAGATGAGGTTCTCTACAGCTTCACATGTGATATCTACACTTTAATGGATTGTGTAGTATTTTCCATGCTTAGACCCCCTAAAATGTTCATCTGTCTTTACCTACATGGCCTTTCTCTGCTAGAAACAATTGTCTGACAGTTCTTTGCAGAACAAGCTACTTCTTATCTTTCAATTATCATTGCTCATGTCTCCCCCTTTCCCTGACCACTCCCCACACACCATTATTCCCATCCCTGAACACTGTCCCTTTCCTTGACAGCAGGCTTCTTCCTTTGTAACTCATCAGATGCTTATTTATTGTCGGTCCTCCTCCCCCACAGGGCTCTAAGTGATAGGAGATCATGACTGGATTTAGAACATGCCAGTTACAGTCTCCCCATGCCTGGCACATAGTAGGTATTCTATAGATGCTTGTTGAATAAAAGCAGGAAGCAGGTGTGAATGAATGAATTTAACTTTCAAGTGTACACCCATGTGCCCATAAACACAACCAGGAATTATAGCATAATTCATTTAGACAGAATCATGAGGATGAAAGAGTTTTACTACATAGACTGGAGAAATATTACCACCCCTTAAAATGCACATGCATGGGAATGAGGAATGTTTCCATTTGAGAACTGAACAGGAAGCAGCCAACAGAGCTGAAAAAGAAAGGGTTATATATTCATTAAACTCCAGGCATAGGGCCTAAAAATGGAAAGGACTTACTAGAATGAAACAGTGATTTGTCTGTCAAACAGTAGAAACAGCAGCTTGGGAAGCTGGAGGAGCAGAGGATATGAAGCTAGCCGGAGAAGAGCTGGGATCTTTGTAAAGGCAGATGACCTGGCAGCAAGCAGGCAGAAGAACTGACAGGAATTCTGTGAAGAGGCATACAGCTGATCGGAAAGAGCTTGGTGTGGAGAGGAAGGGACCACACTAAGGCTAGCCCTGGTTCACAAGAGCCAAGGTGAAAACAACCCAAATGTCCACCATCTAGTGAACAGATAAACAAAATGTGGTATATCCATGCAATGGAATATTATTTGGCCATAAAAAGGAAAGAAATTCTGACACATGCTACAACACGGATGAGTCTTGAAGACATTATGGTAAGTTAAAGAAGCCAGACACAAAGGCCACATGTTGTATGATTCCATTAATATGAAAGATTCCAATTAGGCAAATCTATAGAGACAGAAAACAGATTAGTGGTTGCCATGAAGAGGGAGAATGGGCAGTGACTGTTTAAGGGTCATAGGGTTTCCTTCTGGGCTGATAAACATTTTCTGGAACAATGGTAATGGCTATACAATATTGTGAATTTATCAAATGCCACGGTATTGTCCATTGTGAAATGGTTGAAATGGTTGATTTTAAGTTATGTGTATTTTACCACAATCAAAACAGCAAAGTTGGTTGAAGTCCTGAGGGCTGATGTTCTGGCTCCTTTGGTCCCTGTTTACTTTGACAAGACTCACTCTTGGAAAATTTACCCCCTGTTGGGTAATAATCCCTCCTACCTCCCAGGGTTACTGAGAGATTAAATAAAATGGGGTACATCAAAAGCCATTAAAAAGAGAAAGGCATTTATTATAATTCATGCATGTAAACATTCATCCATTCATTCGCGCATGTCAATGTCATACTCCCATGATCAGTATTTGTTGGTTCATTCATTCATTCTTGTATTTATTGAGCACCTAACAGGTGCCAGGTTTTAGGTGTGGAGATGTAGAGAGGAAAGAACAAACAAAACAACTTCCTGCTCTGACCACGAACTTTTAAGAATACAAGTACATTTACACTTTGTCAGCAGGAAGCCAAGTAGAAAGAGTGGAAGGAAGTGCTGGGCAGGGGCAGGTACTGCTTTATGTCAGATGGTGGGGCAGAGAGGCCCTTCTAATGAGGGACATCTGAGCAGAGGCATGAAGGACACGAGGCAGCAAGCTACAAGGACACCGAGGGTGATACAGGCAGAGGGAAGCACAGGCAAGCAGCCTCTGAGATGGTGCCAGGGGACACTGAGGTCATCAGAAGGATGTATCAGCACAGCGAACCAGGGTCTCAAATCTTCAGGGAATGAGGCAGAGTGACCTGCTGCCTTTAGATGCTTCCACAAAGAAGGGCAGAAGGTGATATAGGCTGAAGGTTTGAGTGTCAAAGCCATGGAGGTTTAGGGAGGAGAAAACGACAATAGTTTGGGTGTGGTGATGAGGGCAGGCAGGAGGTCTGTGCCACTCCTACCCATGGGTGAGAAAACAGGCAAGATGTGAGCGGGCAGCAGGGAAGAAGGGTCCACTGGTGACAGAGGCTGCTAGGTGTTCCCCCAGGCCTCTGAGGTGGGACTGAGGGAGGGGAGCCAACCACCTGATACCTATTACTATAGGAAGGCATTTTAGACAAAAACAGAGGACGATGCCAGCAAAGAGCAGAGTGGGGTCCTTGTAGTATCAGCATCAGAAAACAGCATAGGTCTCAGAATTATTTAAACTCTGCCTTAGATATTCCTGAGTTCATAGCCATGAAATTGTGGCTTTATTTACCTTTCCTTTCATTTTCATGCTTTGAAAAATTATAGTAACTTCTCTGTCTTAACAAATAAGCTTCATTTAACTATAGGTCTAAGTCAATTTCATTTCAAATTTTTTCAGAACTAAAAAATGACTACTGAGAATGAAAACAGACAGAAATGTCATTAAATAAATACATAGAACATGCCTTTACCTATAGACAGCAAGGTCCAGGATGATCTGCTTTTCATTGTCTTTCAAAGAGAAGTCAATTCTAAGAATAACACATTTGGGGGAAAAAAAGATGACTTTAGGATACTGTATGGATAATCCCTTCACAAATTCAGAAGCAAATTAGATAATAATTTTATAATAATGTCCAATGACAACTTATTTTGGTGGTTGGACAATCAAATGTCAATGGTAATTTTAAAATTTCAGCGAAACCTACAACGTATTAATAAATCATTTGTGCTTACAGTGTTTAAATGTGAGAATCTTAAGGTAAATTACATACAAAAAAATTAGCTTTGGTGCAGAGATAGAGACATCTGGTGGCTAAAGTTTTCTTTTCCGTTTCATGTGAGTTTGCCAGAAGCAAACTAAAACACTGGAATTATTTATGGAGAACTAACGGTTGTTTTTGCCTCCCCTTTATCCTGCATTCGATTCCTTAGGTTTTAAAGAGTCCTGTCTTCCTTCTTTTTTCTTGCTATTTTTTCCTTCTCCTTTCATCGCTGACCTTCCATTGCCCTGAAAAAGGCTGAGACACTGCCCATTATCTATTACCTCTGTTTTATAGATGAAGAAACAGAGGTTCAAAGAGGTTGGCATAGCTGAATTATAATAAATGCCTTTACACTTTGTCTGCACGAGCCTGGCTAGGCAGGATTTGAAAGCTCTACCATCTTTCAACTGTACCCTGAGGCTGAGTCCTAGGTCTAGCTTCCACACTGAATATCATGCTATCAGAATTGCCTGGTCAATTTTCTTTTGAGCATTTCACTTATCATCTTACTCTATAAAATATACAACTCAACAGTATTAAAGAACATAAGCTAAACTGTTTAGGAAAATGTGAAGTTAGCGATAGATGTGGCTGTTAGCAGCATTTCTGCTTGTGGCAGAAACTGTCTCATTGCTTTCAATAGTCCAGGCCTGTGGGACTTCTTCAGTGTCTCAAATGGCCCATGTATTTGTAGAACCTCATCTCAGGAGCCTTTTATGTGCTCCTGCTCTGCCTCGATTTCTTATTACTTGTAAAGTAATTTCAGAGAAGTTTCCTATGGCACAGATTGCTATTTAGTTGCTATCTGCTTCCCCCTTTATTCCTAGTGACAGGAACCATGGTTTGAACTAGGTGCATGGCTATGTACAATAAAGGTTGCATTCTGTGGCCTCCCTTGAAGGTAGGTGAGGTCAGGCGAGGGACAGTCGTTGTATGGCACTTTCTAAGAATGTCCCTTAAGAAAAGGAGCATGTGTCCTTTCTTCCATTTTTTCTTCTTTATTTAGCTGAGTAGAACAGAATGTAGAAGGCCAATAGATGAACGATGGAGACTACTTAATAAGCAATTGCAACTGTCCAAGCAAGAGTTACTGTCAGCTACAGGTGGTGGTGGGGTCAGTGAGACATGGCTGGATTCTGATAATATCGAAGGAAGAGTTCACAGGGCTCACTGATAAGATGACAGAGAGAGAAGAATCAAGGGAGAATCCAAGGTTTCTGGTCTTAGCCAAGGGGTGAATGTGTGTTACTGAGATGGAGAACACAGGGACACAAGCACACGACGCTGGAGAGTGGTAGTGAGGCTTGAAATCAGGGGTTCTCTTTTAGCTATAATAAGTGTGCAATGACTCTCTTACATCCACCCAGTGATGTCAAACTTCTAATTGTTAGAAACAAATTTTCAATGCTGCAAAGTGAAACCAATACTCAGGCAAAAGTTTTCTCAGCAAGGCAATATACTTCTATAGAAGGGCACTTCCTGCATGCAAGGCAGAGGCAAGGGAGAGCGAGCAAAACAAAGGAGAGCAGGAGTTTTTTATCCCTAACACAGACCCTGTTCCTGTGCCCTCCCCCTGCAGGCTGGGGATGGACTGCACAATCTAGGCTAATTCTGATTGGCTACTGTTGACCTCATCATCAAAGGAGGCAAGGGTTGGTGTTTCACGGGAAGGACAGGTATGGTACATCTTAGGGTGTTTGGGCACAGCAGAGATAGGGAGGGCTGATAGATGAATGGGTACGATTACCTTTTAGAATAGAACAAAGAACCAGGAACCAAAACTCTTTGAAAAGGAACTATATGTTCTTAACAACATAACTGAATAGACAAGTCTTGAGCTCAGAGAAGAGGTTGGATCAAGTTGGGAGCAATGTAAAGAGTGTGTTTACAGCCATGGGATTTGGTGAGAGCCATGAAGAGCTAAAGGAAAAGGAAGACAGCTGAGGAGTTTGCTATAGGGCACCCAAAAAACAAAACCAAAGGGATACATCAAAGCTTAGAAAGATGAGCAGTCAGTAAGGTAGAAGAAAAACCAAAAGCAAAGGGAAGAAATTGCTTTAAGAAGGACGGTACTGAACAATTTGATCCAAATCTGCTATGTCCAGTAAGACAAAGACTAAGAATTGAACACTGAATGTGGAAATAATATGACTAAGGAAATTTCAGGATGATGGAATACACAGAAGTGGTTTCAAGAAGGAATGTGAAGTAGAAACTGGAGACCAAGTGCAGACAATTCCATTAAATGGGGGCAGAGAAAAAGAGCTGTGGCTGGAAGGAAAACCAGGGGAAGGGAGGTTGTTGCTTTTGTTTTAACACAGAGATTTTTAGAATTTGTTTGCACATGGGTGAGATTGATCTAGCAGAGTGGAGAGAACTAGTGCAGAAGACCAAGGATAACTGAGCAACTAAGTCCTTGATAGGCAGAGGGGATGGAGTCAGGGTGTTTACACAGACATAGGAAGTTCACCGTCAGCAAGCAGAAGAGAGGGGAGTACATGGGATAGGTCCAGCTACACTGGTAAATTGGATGTTGGGAGGAAAAGAAATCTCCTGATTGCTTTTTTTCTCAATGAAATAGGAAACAAGGTCCTCAGTTAAGACTGTAGAAGTGTCAGATGATGTTGGAAGTAAGAAGAAAGAAGGTATGAGAGCAACCTGCAGGACCGTGGGAGAATGGACGGTCCCAGAAAATAAAGGAAGATTGCCAGAGTCCATTTGAGATCTGTAGTTATGAATGTAAGGTAAGACCAGCAAGTAGAAGTGAATGGTTTCCTCCAGCCACACAGGAGGACCAGCCCAAGAGTGGGTAGTGTGCTAGATTTAAATAGGGTTGGGATTTTGTGAGGTGAGGATGATGGAAAGAGAAAAAAATGAGAGCGGAAGACAAATGACAAGGATGGATTTCTTTTTTCTTTTCCTTTTTTCTTGAGACAGGGTCTCACTCTGTCGCCCAGGCAGGAGTGCAGTGGCATGATCTCGGCTCACTGCAACCTCTGCCCCCCAAGTTCAAGCGATTCTCATGTCCCAGACTCCCAAGTAGCTGGGATTACAGGCATGTGCCACCACTCCCGGCTAATTTTTGTATTTTCAGTAGAGATGGGGTTTCATCATGTTGGCCAGGCTGGTCTTAAACTCCTGACCTCAAGTGATCTGCCTGCCTCGGCCTCCCAAAGTGCTGGGATTATAGGCGTGAGCCACTGCACCTGGCCCAAGGACTGATTTCTGTGATGAACCATAAAACTAAAGCACGGCAAGAGAAGATGAGGGGTTACGGGAGAGTAAGAAAAATAGGAGAGTGAATTATCTTATGGTCTTCATGGGGGCATGTGGTTGTTGGAGTGGAGGAAGTTCCCCCAGGAACATAAGAAATGGTATCTAGTGAGACACTCGAGGTGAAGTTTCTGACGTGGAAGAGATATTGGTGGTGGCAAATCTAGGAATGAAAATGAAATCATGTGGTTGAGTTGAGCTGGAGAAGTGAGCTGGTTGGGGAACTGAGAGGCCAGGGCTTCTGGTGGATCACCTATATGTTTGATAAAGTCATCACCAAGACTGATGATGGCAGGAGAGGCAGAGAGAGACACTGGTGTGGGTGAAAGATCTTCAATGAATTGAGAAGGCTGGGGTTGAGAGTTGATCAGGGTGATGTAGATGACTGCAGGAAGAAGGGGCAGGGGTGCTATATCTAGAGGGCTTGTGCTTCAACAGAGAAAGGGAGAAAGATGGCCTGAAAGTGGCAATGGGCTGTAACTGTCCCTGTGGCGTATGTGGTGAGGAAGAACAGTGGGAAGTCGCAGAAGTGAATCCTCCGCTTCAGTTAGTGAAAGAGGAGAAATGGCGGAGGCTTCAGGCTTTGCTGTCCAGGCTCAAGCTCCAGAGGGCACAGGGGTCCAAAAGAGGTGAGAATGAGTTGAGTTGGATCAGTGCCATTTGGGTATAAGATTCTGGACGGTGGTGCATGACCTGGGAGGGCAGGAACAGGGGACGATCGCATGTCGGGAGGCAGTGCCACTGAGGAGGTGGTGGGTAATCAGTTCTTCATAGAATCACCCTCAGTAGAACCGGTTTTAGGGGCAGGTGAGGCTGCAGTGTGTGGGAAGAGTGGTGGTCTTACCAGAGACACATGGAGTTCCGGGAGTCTCCCTTGAGCTCTGTTGTAGGCTAAAGAGAGATGGTCTAAACTCGATTTCTGAACTCCATGAGGTCAGAAAGAAACCTGTCATAGTCACTGCTCTATCCCCAGGGCCTAGCCTAGTGTTCTGTCTTGCATTCCTGTCTGCTGTAGGTGCGTAAGGGGAAGGGATTATACATCTTATCATGGAAGTCACTAGAACTAGGTTAGCATGAGCAACTCAGAACCACCACCTATTAGCTGTGTGACCTTGGGCAAGTCACTCCACCTCTCTCAGGCCCAGGCTGGACATGTAAGAAAGAAAGACTGTCTACCACCTATGATTGCCGTGAAGATAAATGATGCCCAGAAATAATTCAAGATTGTGCCTTCACCATGGTCATGACAGAGCAAATGAAATCATGACGGAAAATAGGTTTGAGTAATAAAATGAAGTGAATGAGATTTAGTCTGTAGGCTCTTTGGTCTGTATTTTGGCTACAAAAGGCTTTTCTGTCCTGCTTTTTAATTTCAAACTTTAAGACAGATAAAGAGGGTAGGTTAGATATTATTATACTTGAAGATTTCCAGTTTCAGTATCTGTCCTCTATTAAATTCATTGAGGTTATTATATTGATTTCCTTCCCTAGCTCTCAAAGGCTTTGTATATGTGCTCCATAGTATAAAGTAGATGTATAGATGGTACATCAGTATTCTCAACCAGCTTGCTCATGGCAGAGTTTTAAAAATTCATAAATACAACAACAATGTGGTGGCAATTTTCAGGCATAAAACTGTATATGGTCCAAAGTTTCATGGGGTACATAAATAACTAAGATCTCCATATGCCAAGATCATTTGCTAGATGCCAAGACAATTATGCATTTGAAAACATAATAGATGTTTTCCCTTTAAATATGCACCAAATGACATTATTTTTAGACTCATCAAACTTGTTAAGAGCAGTCAGATATATTCTCTGCAGAGCAAACCTGGAATTGAAACAATGATTGACCAACACCATTGATTGACACTTTTGGGTCTTTAACTCTCTATTTGGCCTCACATACTTGGGCTCATTTACATTTAGGGCTTTCCCATCTTCAGTGATCAAAGTCCTGGGTGGTTTCACTTTCTTCTTTCTTTCACTTAAGATTGATGGTGGGTGAGAACAAGGGGCAGCATGGAAAGAAAAAATAAGCAAAGAGAATATAAAAGCAATTAATACATTTTTGTGAAACAGTTTTAAAAAAATTAACTGAACTTTTATGAGCACATCAGCAATTCATTGTTCTGAAGTCCATTCCTTTAATTCTATGCTGGGAACTGACAACCAAGCCAGATTTTTTTACGTGGTTGTATCTGTATCTCTACAGCAAAAAAATGACCAAGACAATTTGCCAGATAATTTGAATGAGGGAAGAAAACTCCTTTTCATGACTGTCTATTAATATTTAAATAAGTCTATTTTATACATGATTTACCCAGATCACTGTCAACTCTCCATTTGTGTACAGAACTTCTGCTTTAGCTAAAATACAACATTTAACATACCAATTGAATAGAATCTATTCAATATAAATAAAAATGTCGGCACAGAATAATCTATGTAAAAGGATATTTCTCACAGCGTTATTTACTGTGGCAAACCCCTGGAACTGTTGTGAGTGCCCATCAGTGGAGGAATGGTTGAATCAACTGTGTTTCATTCATGCTATAACATATTCTGCAGCTGTTAAAAAATGTGTTTGCTCATTACTTATTGATTTAGAAAAGTGTTTATGATGTCTTTAGTGAGAAAAAATATATAAAACATAAATACGTATTTGTTTTACAAAAAGACCCCAAATCCTACACTTGCAGAGATAATTTATACAATTATAAAGGGTTAAAAAAAATGTAGTGAGATTAACAACACTCATTACGTTGAAGGGTTGGATAAGGGGTAAATAAAGGAAGCAAATAATAGAAGATTAATTGAGTAATATAAAATTAAAATGCAGTATGTAAATTCTATTTAAAAGATTACTGAAAGTATATAGAAACTTAAATAGGCAAATATGGACAATATCTAGATCAGATGGAAAAATTTGTTTAGATGATGGAACTGTTGGCAATTCTTTGCCTTAAATTTCTATTGTAACTTTAATACAGATTTTGTGTCGGTTAACTTTATTTTAGAAAAAATCATTCACATTCTTCTGCATCTTAAGCTGGGCCTCCAGATCCAATGGAGTTAATATTTCAATGACTCAGGACAATTAAGGGGCATTCACAAGCCCTTGGCTTAACCCTACTCAGCGTAAAGCAGATCAGAGTTAGGAATAAAAGATTTCTTTTGTCCCTGCTTACACCCAGTTAATAAAAATGGCAACACAATCAGAGGCAAACATCTCAGGGACTCACTGGATTGGGAAGTCTAAGGTGTCCAAAACATAGAGACTCAGATCTCCATCCCATTCAGCCTTACTTTATTAGGTGTCAGGGAGTAAAAATAAATTCTCCTTATTTCAGGCTCAATACATAATAGATTAGATATTATGTATATATACCCACAGATATATAAATATACCATATGTGTGTATGGGTATATATGTAAGAAATATTTCACAGTCTATAAACATGTAGAACTTCCATTTTAAAGGGCTCTTGAGTCTGCAAAGCACTTTCACATGTATGGATGGGCTCATCTGATTTTCTTAACAGTACAGTGGGGTCGGTAAGACAGGTATGATAATCCCTGTTTAGCAGATGAAGAACCAGATGAGGAGAAGTTAGGTACTTGCCAACATCACACAGAGGGTAATAGTGGAGTCAGGACATGCATACATAATCTTATTCCATGCTCTTCCCAAAGGGCTGTGTGGTCCCTTAGTGTGAAAATCACCCATGTTTTACAAACCAGTATTTTAGATAAAATTTGATTTTTGATTGTTATACTTCCCTGTATTTCTAATTAATGAAAATTTTATGAAAGCAGCTGAGATTTCAAATCTTTTTTACTTCTACTTTCTTGCTTTTAGTTGTTAATCACAGAGAGAGATATTGTGTTTTGTTTCACTTGAGGCATTACCATGTAGATTACTATATTTCAGGGCTAATTTATCACTTTCTCAAGCTCATGAATAATAAGTATTCCCATAAGTTATATATTTTACATACTAGACTTAAGCAATGACATGAAATGGAATGACACAAAATCTGTTTTTGAAAAATCTACTCTGAAGATAATAGCATAAACATCCTAGTTTCTAACAAATCATCAAATTATAGATAAACAATTCAAAAGTGAAATCATAGTGTTAAATGTCGAAGAAAGTTGTATTAGGAAAATAAAATGTCTAATAAAACTAATTTCCAATTCTTCACTTTGCAAATTAATAGAACAGACTCAAAAAGGAGCCCATTCATTCCACAAAATGAACTTTTTCTAGACTAGAAATACTAATGTATTAGTGTACCCTAATACACTATTATTGGGTATATTAAAAGTTGTAAAAAGCTGAAGACATACAAAAAACCTCTACCTAAAATGTCATAATTCATGACGTTCTAAAGAAGGTACTTTGATATTAATGAATGTTAGCCAATACAATTCAACAAAAAGCTATACTTAGAAAAAACAAAATCTATATATGAGTGCTAAAGGTTTAACACAAATAAAGAGGGAAAAAAACGGGCAATCATGAAAATATAGTTCATAAGTGGCTACTGCTTCCCTCTCATAGGAAAGAATGAAATACCTTAATTTTTCCTGATTTTTCCGTTGTTTTTCCATGTGTCTAAGAGTTTCCAATCTCGATTCAGGAGTAAACAAGCAGGGCTTATTCCAGAATTCCAAGTCATCTTCACTGTTGTCTAATTTCTTCGTGTTGTGTTCCTCTGTGTCTGGTGCCTGTAGGTGGTCTTTGCTCTCTGAAGAGGAACTAGGAAAAACAGAGCACTTAAGAACAATAATGGATTCATGAGCCTCATCCTTAATGCTGGCCTTTTAATATCTACATACTTTTCTTCTGTTATCTTCCTACCTTTGAATGACAAAGTGACTCTGAAAGACAGTCTATCCAGGTCTGGTTACCCTGGCCTGGATATGTAGTGAGATCAACCCAAGGCTGTTAACATTCATTACATTGAAAGGTTGAATAGGGCAGACCTTCATACTCTATCATCAGGAATATTGAGGTAATCAGATTCCAGGGTGCACAGACCTGACTGCTAAGAATCACCTGGGGAGCTTTATAAAAAGTACAGATTCCTGGGTTCTCATCAGAAAGCCTATTCAGTAGATCTGAAGTAGTTCTGAAGTAGTAGATCTGAAGCCTGGGAATCTGTGTTTTATATTTTGCAGGAGATTCTGATGATCAGACAAGCAATCACCCACTTCTAATCTCGTACCTGTCAATTACACTCTTCACACTACTCCCAGAGGGACTTTTCTAGCAGGCAAATTGGATCACATTATTTCTAGGTTTTTTAATGACTCTCTTATCTCCAAAATTTGCTTGTAGGACATATGACACTTTTTATAGTATGGCCTGTACGTAGTTTATTTTTCATGGATAACTTCTGATTATGTAGCTTTATATGGTAACAGGTCTCTCTTCCCTTTTATTCATGTTTTGCAGACTGTCGGAGAATTAAACAACGTCTCTATATGTCACCAAATGGGTATTATGTGAGATAGTCAATATTTGTTCAACATGGATCCCAAAAATATTTATTGAGCATCTTCTGTTGTGCCAGACACCAGAGATACAACCCTGGCCTACACAAACCATGACACTACTTTCAGGGAGATTCTATTCTTGTGGCAAGAAAATGACATCATTCAAGCAATAAACATTAGGTATAGTCTCTCTCCCCTTACCTCTCCCTAGAATAGACACTTTATTAGATGACATTAAATGAAACAAATTACATGATGCCTTTAATACCAACTATAGAAAATAGTAGGTACTCAATACATGTTGGGTTTTGTTATTGAATGAGGTGACAAGAAAGTCTCCTTTAGTTGATCTTCAAACTAAAGATATTTTCTTCATTTTGACAATATCTTTTCAAATATATTTTCTTTATCTCGAAAATATTGTGAAAGATATTTTTCAAAGGGATGAACCAAAAATACTAGAACATGAAATTTAAGTAGCATCAATAGAATATATAGCAAAATTCTGCTGTCTTTACAGATACAATGCAACTAAATATTTCAATAAGCAAAATAATGCAAATTGCTGAAAATAAATAAATCATTTTGCTATACAGCTACAGTTCTTTATGGCATTGAAAGAATAATCTATGAAGGGTATCTATAATATTCTACAATATTCTAGATAATTGCCACTGAAATAATTGGTTCCATTCTCATTTAACCATTTAAATTATATTTTTCCTGGAAAGTGACTAATTGGTTCAATCTGGCCTTTTGCAAGCTAAAATAATAATTATAAAAACATAAAAATAACAGTACTTAAGAAAAATTATCAGAGATATCAGCTAAATAACATGTCTCCAAGGCAAAATGCATATAAATGTGTGTAGCTGGTTGATGAAACAAAGTGAGCTCATTAGTGTCTGATCAAAAAAACTTTCTCTTCAACCACTGCCTTCAAACCTGCTCTCTCAGAACTCTCTACTCATCCATAAGCAGATCCCACAGCTCTATAGTCACTTTTAAGAACAGGATAATCTCAGCTAAACATTCACTTTCAGATACTAAAGGGTCTAAAGTTTAAATAGAAGTTCAGACCTAAGTTTCAAATCGAAGCCATTCCCTCCCTCTCCAACCCATTCTCTCTCCTGGCCCTGTTTCAAATTGGGGTGTGCATGGGAAGAGGGACACCCTCTCCTACTTTTCATTGTCATCCATTCCTTCCTCTGAATCCCATACCACTGGGCCTCTTAGGTTCAGAGGCTTCCTGCCTTCAGAATTTGGGGCCTGGGAAGATGAATGAGGAGAAGAAGGTGAATATCTCTTATATGACCACTCCTATTATAACCTGGCTATTGCTACCCTCGCTGGGACCAATATCCAGATACTGGCTTTCTCTTCCTGCAAGCACCTTTGTCATTCTTGGAGACACTACAAGAACCCTCCAAGTGTACTGTTCACTGTTGAGGTGGTCAATATACTTCCTGGCTCCTTTTGTGATAACTCCCCGGCTTCTGCCACTGATAATCCACCCCTTAGTTTCTTATCGCTGCTGTCCTATTGGACAGCATCTCTTCAAGACAGTTCAAATCCAGCTCTTCTACCATGTCCACTTGGTCTATACAATATCCACAAATCCTGGCTGGGTGGGGTGGCTCACGCCTGTAATCCCAGCACTTTGGGAGGCCGAGGTGGGCATATCACGAGGTCAGGAGTGAGAGACTAGCCTGACCAACATGGTGAGATCCATCTCTACTAAAGGTACAAAAATTACTCAGGCATGGTGGCACACACCTGTAATCCCAGCTACTCAGGAGGCTGAGGCAGGAGAATCGCTTGAACCCAGGAGGCAGAGGTTGCAGTGAGCCGAGATCGCATCATTGCACTCCAGCCTGGGAGACAGAGTGAGACTCTGTCTGATAAATTAAAAAAAAAAAAAAAAAAAGATATTCACAAAATCCTTGGCATATGAAGTGTGAGCTGTTGCCATTAATACCTTCTTCCCTGATCCCTCTGCTCCAGGTCACTTTCTATCTTTTCAATTCTCCAGGCTGGAGGCAGGCTCTACCTAGTCAAGAGGTAAATGTCCATCTCCCTTTCTTGCAGCCTCTGATTCTCTGTAGTGTTTCTTCTTGAAGCCTTGAGAGGGAAATAACCTCCTACTCCTCACCAACTAATTCAATGATTCAGGATTTCAATGATTCTCCTCCAGAATGTCTATGTTTCTGTTCAAACAGGCTAAATAGGGTGAGAATGGTGAAGACTTAAGGATCAGCCAGGTCTATGGGGGAGGCAAGAAGGCACCTGCAAGAAACCCCACTGTAACCTTCTACTAAAATACAAGGAACAGATCATTTTAACTTTTGTAAACTTTTAAAAGCCAAGGATAGTAAATTATCTCCAAGATATTGTATGTGCCTATTACATAACTTTGATGCCAAACAGCAGGAAAAAAATGCAATGAGACAAGGATATTATAGCATAAACTCACTTATGAACACAGGTTCAAATATTAAAATAAGATATTAGCAAAATCAATGGAGCAATGCATTAGCAAATAATCATGGACAAAGGATGTTTATCCCAGAAATTCAAGGATGGTTTAACATTAGAAATTCTATTAATGTAATTCAACACAGTAACAGAAAAACACTATTATCTCAATAAATTTGGGGAAAGCATTTAATAAAAATCAATATAATGCATGTGATGATAAAAGCTCCTCATCAACTAAGAATAGAAGGAAGCTTACTTAACAAGACCCAAAAACCCATAGCAAACATTATACTTAATGATGAGAAATTGCAAACATTCTTTTTAAAGTCAGAAACAAGATACAGATACCCATTCTTAATGCTACTATTCCACTCCATACTGGAGATCTTTGCAGGCAACATGAAGAAAGTAAAGTAGAAGGAGAGGGATTGGAAAACAATTTTCAAGTTACTGCTTACAAACAATGTATTTTTCCAGTTAGAAAATGCAGGATTGCCTCTTTCATAAAGGTTAGCAAGATTAATACAGTATCAGTATACAGAAATAATTTGTCCCTTTAAATATCAGCAAAACCAATTACATCTATTTTTAAAATCTTATTCTACAAGATACTTAGAAATAGAGACAATGAAAGATGGTTTAAGACTTTTATAGTGAAAATTTAAAACCTCATTGAATGACTCAGAAGAAGGTCTAAGTAAATAGAGCTCTTCCAAAGTTCAGCAAGGAAAGAATCAATGTCATAAAGATGCCAACTTTCCCCCAATTAACATACAAATTAAATGCAATTTCAATCAAAATTCCACTAGGGATTTTTAAGGAATTTGATTAGCAGCGGATTCTAAAACTCATACAGACAAGTAAGGAACTAAAAATAGCCAAGATAACTTTGAAAAATGAGAATATCTCCTACCAAATATCAAGATATGCTATAAATCTATACAAACTAAAACCAGGTAGAAGTGCTCCTATGGAACAGTCTAGGGAACTCAGAGATGAACCCATAAATACATGGTTTGAAGGGATTAGTAAGGGTGGCATTTCAGATCAGTGGGAAAAGAATAGCACCTTAATAAATGGTACAGAGACAATTAGCTACCCATATGAAAAACCATTAGTACCCTACCCTATACATTGGCAAAAGTTAATTCCAGATAAAAAGATACAAACAGATATGGTACTGGGATAAAGAAGCATTCCATAAACAAGACAAAAATGTACAAATAAGTTTAACTACATTAATATTTTTAAACTTCATAAAACACAAGCACTTATAATTAAACACAAGTCACAGACTGGGAGAAGACACTTGTAAAGCACATAACCACCAAAGAATATAATTTTTATTTGTATCCAGAATATAAAAGAACTATCAATAAGAAAAAAACTTAACAACTTATTTAAAACAAGTAGGGAACTTGAATAGAGGATATCTGAATAACCAACAAACATATAAAAGATATTTAAAATATTCAAATTCACTAGTAATTATAGAAATGCAAATTAAATTTTTTAAAAATAGAGGATACTATATAATATGCAACACACTTGATTGGCCAATATTTTAAAATATATTATCCAGTATTGGCAAAGATTGAAAACTCCTGTATATTGATATATTAGCATAAATTATTACAAGTACTCTAGAAAACAATTTGGCAATATGTATAAAGTTGAAAAGATGTCATGATTGTTGTAGCAATGCCATTGCTAAATACCCTGAAGAAACTTTCATACCTGAACAAGGAGACAAGGACAAAATTGCTTGAATATCTCAACAAATGTTCAACATGGATTCGAGAAATATTTATTGGGCATCTTCTGTTGTGCCAGGCACCAGAGATACAGCCCTGGCCAAGATAGACCATGATGCTACTTTCAGGAGATTCTATTCTTGTGAGAATTGGAAATGGGAATAGGGAAAACAACGTGTATGGCCAGCCAAAGAGGGATGGCTGTGTCCAGGTTGACCGGCTGGCACCACCAGAAGGATCGCATGTGTTGTTGGAGCTGCTGCACCTTCTGATTGGTCAGGGCAAGTGAAATACTGGCTATTAACTATTTTGAATATTACCTCTGGGATAAATTATAATTTATTCATCCAACTGGATATTATTCTATACTTAAAATGAATTAGTTTTATATGTCTTCATATGCATAAATCTCAAAAACATGTTGCATGAAAAGCAAAGCTATAGAAAGATATCATTCATGCTAAACACACATACTCAAACTACTATTGTTTAAGGAGGCATACCTGTGAAATAAAGGTATTAAAAATACGAATGAATCAACATATATCAAATACGCACCAGCTTCAGGATAGCAGATGCCACCAGGATGAAGAGAGGAATGGGATGAAGGGGAAGTACTTAAGGAGCTTCTACACTCTTAATGATATTTTATTTCTTATTTAAAAAAAGATCCCAAGCAAACATATTGTCATTTATTAAATGTAGGTGGTAGAACTACAAGCTGCCTATATAACTATTTTCAAACATTTATGTATGTCTGAAATACTCTATAAGTATTATTTCCCCAATTTTAAGGGATTCTGTTATCTAAATACCTTATACTTTAACTGTATGGAATCAAATCAACTGACTATAGTTGCAATTCACTTAAAATACATAAACACGAAAATTTTAATTTAAAAAAGTTATTAATCACATTAAGAATGTGTTCAGTATATAATTAAGAAAACAGAATGTTGTATGATACAATTAGAATTAATCAAATTATAATAATGTGATTTGTATTTAACTTTTCTAAAATACTCCTAGTTTGTAAATCAAAGTACACCTGTTAATTCATCTTTTCTGTACATATTTTATGGATTTTTCTGAGAATAATTTTAGATGGAAATTAAAGTTACTAGTTTAAAAAGGAATTTTTCCCCCAAGGAAAGAAAGCCTTACAGAATTGTCACAAGCTATGGGATGCTCATATTCTTCCATCCAAAATTCACATCATATTTTATTCTTCAAATTAATCCGGAATATAAGTGTACTGCAAAGAACTTGGAAAGAGAATACAGTTTGCTGCTTTTAACAAAAGTTGACTAGAAAGTAAACTAATAATTTACATACAGAGTAGCATTGATGTCTGTGTACCAACGTCCATCAAAGCCTGCATTACTTCTCTTGTCTTCATTTTTATCCTCTTCTTGGTGTTTCCTCTGAGCCTCTTCCTTGAGTTTGGCTCGTTTAAGACAGTGATCTTTTTCCTGCTCTCTGATTTGTGGTTCAATTACTGAATACTCCTGCAATGCCTTAATCCTTTCTGAAGGCTCTATTTCTTTACCATCCAACCACTTAAACAAAAAACAATAAATATAGTACAATTGTTCAAAAGTAGCAGTGTGAATCAGCCCCAGGTTGATTTTGATTAGAACTTTTGAAACTTAGAAATAATAATACACCACAGTGATAGAGAATTAAAACAATATAATTAATGGGAAATATCAGAACATTGTTCTAAATCAATGTTTATTTCATACAATTTACACAGTTTTAAAAATACCTTTACTGGCAATAATAATGATTAGGTCTTCTGTTAAAAATGAAAATTAATACAAACTCTCAAAATATTTTATGTTAATTTTATAATTGCTCACTATGTCAAAAATGTCAATGCTTAAGTCAAATCATAGCTTCAAAGTACAACAATGGCACTTCTCAAAAGCTCTCTACAGAAAAAAAAAAAGGCCTTGAATATTACGCATGATTGGGCTCTAATACAAATGAGCCCATGTTTCACCCTTAACAAGATAGATAGGCTATTGTTACAGCATTGTTTACATCTGATACTTCAATTATGATTTTCCAAAGTAAAATATTAAAATAAAAGTGTCAATTAAAACCTAAAATGTTAGAGCTAACAGTTTAAAGATACCTATTTATCTACCCAGCCTTATTCTGCAAAATGAGGTGAGGTATTTAGGAAGGTGTGGTTGGAAGATAATGGTTCCCCAAGAATGTCCATGTTCTAATCTCCATGAATGTTACCTTACATGGCAAAAGGGACTTTACAGGTTTGATTAGGTTAAGGATCTTGGATGATCAGGGTGATTCTTGTAAGGACCACAGAGGTCCTTATAAGTACGAGAGAGAGACATGAGTGTCAGAGTTAGGGAGAGATGTAAAGTTGGCATACTGATGTCTTTGGAGATGGAGGAAGAGGCCATGAGCCTAAAAATGCAAGTATCCTCTAGAAGCTGAAAGGGGCAAAGTAAGGGATTCTCTCCTAGAGCCTGAAGAAAGAATAGCCCTGACAACACCTTGATTTTAGTCCAGTGAAACCATTTCAGGCTTTTGATCTCCAAAATCATAAGGTAATACATTTGTATTGTTTTAAGTCACTAAATTTGTCTCAATTTGTTACAGCAGCAATAAGAAACATATAAAAGGGGGAAAAATACACAGAAAGATTTAGTAAAATACAAATTAAAAAATTATTAGAATCAGCTGAATTATAAGTCAAAATTATGTAGAGATTTGGTAAAAAGATAATTCCAAATATGCTTTGGTCATAAGAACTCATATGGTTGCTATAGATGGGCTGCAGATTTGGTTCCTAGCTTCTTGGCAGCCAAAGTGAAATAGAAAAACATAATTAGTTACACAATTTTCATGGTCTTTAAGGAAAAACTACAGTTTGTAGCTTCCCTCTAACATGCAGCTCTAAAACACACTTCTAGCACAGAGTTTCATAATGGAGACCTTGAGAGATGTCAGGCATTGTTTCTCCAGAAATATGTCCATACAGTCACAGGTTTCATAGGGCTGTTTCTTGTAGTATCCTTCAATAAAGGTATCCTCATACCATTATGTATGAGGCCATAATGATAAACCCAATGCAATAAAACCGATTACTTAAGGCATTAAGTAATTGTGGTCCACATACTTAATCTGATCTAGTTTAATACAGGGTTGGGATCAAATCAATTTGGAAATTTTGGGATAAATGAAATTTACTTATTTTGTAAGTGTACATAAGTAAATACACTAATATAAATATATGAATCAACATAATTATAAATATATTTATATATAATTAATACTATATAAATATAGTACTTTCATAAATTTCTGTTAAGTCATCCAATTTGTAGTACTTTGTTATATTAATTTATATAGTATAATTTATATATAAACATATATTATTAACATAAATACATTATATATAACTGTGTATATAATATATATAATTATTGTAATAATTGTATATAATTATATATAACTTCTTTCGACTGGGATTTTTTCTCAACAGAACCGTGGGGAGCAAGGTGATCTTTTCTTCTTTGTAATTGAAGTACATTGATTGATTGATTGATTGATTTCTGTCTTATAAACGGTTTAAGTCTATTTTGACTTAATTAGCACTACTGTTCCTAAAAGGCTATGGCAACTGAACCCTCTGTCACCTTACTGACAGGAGGCAAAAGACCTCATAATAATAACTAATGACAAGTTTGGGACTGTACCCCAGCACCTATTCTAGGAACCTCACTTTTTTGGTGATTTCTGTTCATCTTTGAAATTGGCCCACATTTCCTTCAAGCCAAAATCACGTCTGAGTTTAGAAGGCCTAAGAACCATAGATTCAGTTTTAAGCTGAGCGTTTCTTTATCTTTCTTCACCCAGGATGCCTGCAGCACAAAGGTGGAGTGTCCACACTTATTGGTAATAACTGTGCAAGTGCTGAAGCAGAGAAAGGGACACTAAGGTGTATTGAAGGCCTCACAGAACTCCCTTGAGGTAGGAATTATGATCCCACTATACATCAGTAAAATGAGGCACGCAATTCACAGGCAGTGGAAGCAGGTGTCAGACCTTGGTTTGTCTGCTAACAAATCTGTTTCCCACTGCACTGCAGGGTCTACCTACTTCTGGAGTGGCCCAGATACTGGGAAGAAAATCCTTGAAAAGGGCTGACTCTCCTCACACCTCTTCTATGTGACTATCTAAAATAACTACTCTGCTATTATGGGTAGAATTGACCAAAAAAAGATGTTGAAGTCCTAACCCCCAGCAGCTCAAATCATGGACTTTTTGGCAACAGAGTCATTATGGATGTAATTCGTTGAGACTAAATCATCCTGAAGCAGGTGGGCCCCAAGCCAATATAACTGGTGTCTTTATAAAGAGAGAGCCCTGTGAAGAGGAAGGCAGAGACCCTCGGGTAATGTGTCTACAAGCTCAAGAATGCCAGAGATTGGCCGGCAAATCAGCAGAAGCTAGGAGGGCGGCATGGAGCAGATTCTCCCTTGCAGCCCCTGGAACCAACCCCATCAACATCTTGAACTTGAACGTCTGGCCTTCAGAGCTATAAGATGACACATTTCTGTTGTTTAAGCCATCTAGTTTGCAGTACTTTGTTACAGCAGCCCTAGGAAAGTAATACATTTATTAACAGAATTCCTTTCAAGCAGCTCACAAGCTTTCAATGAAATGGTAAATAAGATTCTATAGTATATCAAACTATTTTAAAATATTAATAAATATATGAATGCTATTTTTCAAAAAGGGGTTGTTTTCTATTGAAGCAGTTGATTTGGAGAAGTCTTTCTGAAAGGGAAGACTTGATCCAAAGCCTGTAATTTAACCCAGAGAGAAGCAGTGAGTGTGGGTATAGTGTGAATGGCGGAGGCATCAAGGTTGGACTCATGTAGGTTCAAATCCCACTGGTGTCACTTGCCAGATGTGTCAGCCTAAACAAGCAGCATTAACTCCCCGAGCTCTGAATGCACCTAATTGTCTCCCCGATTGGGTCTGGGAGGATCAGAAACACTGTGCACAAAGTACCTGGCACAACCTCTGACCCTGTCTGCGGCAGCCATATGATGGCTCTCACACCTCTAGCCTGACCAGGCTCAGCTGCGGCACTGCCACAGGCTCAGCTGTGGTGGCCATGAGGACTCCTGGACCCTTAGCCCTTCCAAAGGCATGGCTCACAGCATTACACTACAAGACCTAGTTCTATGATAGTCTGGGTCTCATCAGTTCATTTTCTAGGAAATCACTGTATAATAACGATCAGTTTAGGTTACATATGAGACCATTTATTATTTATTCTATATTCAATTACCTGAATCACTCATTCTCTTAATCTGAGAAATTTTACAGTAGAAGAAATGTATTCCATTAATCCAGCAGTCAGCAGTCTCTTGACTGCAGAGAACACAGAAGTCTAAGAAACAAATATCCTTTAAGAACTGAAAAAATGCCTGTTGCACAGGCGATGTATCCATGCATTCTCTTTCCAGGAACATGGAGCCACATGCAGGCTGGGAACTCTTGGACTTACATGAAACTTAACATTGCTATTTTAATATTCTCTGTTGTATGATTTCTCAAGAAATAATATTTTTCCCTCAGTTCTAAAATTATTCGATTGGGGGGATATGGTATAAGAGTAACATAAACAGTCGTAGTTGTCAAATGAGGTCCCTGCACCAGCAGCAGCACTTACAGATTTTGTTAGAAATGTGAAATCTCAGGCCCCATGTCAGACCTGACCCAGAAACCCTGGGGGAGGAGCACAGCAGTCTGTGTTTTGAAAAGGCCTCCACGTGTTCTGATGCACACCAAAGACTGTGAACTTGACGGGCACAGCAGTTCACGCCTGTAATCCCAGCACTTTGGGAGGCCGAGGCAGGTGGATCACCTGAGGTCAAGAGTTCAAGACTAGCCTGGCCAACATGGTGAAATCTCATCTCTACTAAAAATACAAAAGTAGGCGGGTGTGGTGGCACATGCCTGTAATCCCAGCTACTTGGGAAGCTGAGGCAGGAGAATCACTTGAACCTGGGAGGCGTAGGTTGCAGTGAACTGAGATCATGCCATTGTACTCCAGCCTGCGCAAGAAGAGAACAAGAGCGAAACTCCTTCTCAAAAAAAAAAAAAAAAAAAGAAAGAAAAATTAAAAAAAGACAGTGAACCACTGCTACAGAGAAAATGTTAAGAAAAAGCAATGATAAAAAATAATAATTATAAAAGCACAGTAGCTTAAGGCTATGTAATACAAACGTACATAGCTGTAGCTACTTCTAAAACCCTAAACTTTTGGTTTGCTACAAGTAATAATGAATTCTAATCAGTAATGATGAATGTTCTTTGTAACTATGATTTGAACTCATTGAGAAAAAGTCAAATTAAGTTCTGTATGTTTTGGATGAGAAAGGTGAAAAATATGCAATTTATTTTTCAGGGATTTATTAAAACTATTCAAACAATATTAAAGGTCTAGCCACTCAGATAATTACTTTGGGCTCTTTGGAATATTCCATTATCTGAAACAACACATTCATTGTTGCTGCAAGTAAAGCAGGAATTATTATAGTTGCTCATGCTCATTTCTCTGTGATTTCTGTACCATTAAAATAACCATACCTTTAATTGTGGAAGAGTTGCTACCACGAACTCTCTATAGTGGTCAAAGAAAGCACATGGGTTCCCCATGAGAAAGAGCTCCTTCAGATGGATATTGTGCTTCAAGGTTTTAATGCTGCTCAGCTCTCCAATGAAATTTACAGTCAAGTCAAGTTTTGCCAGCTCTTCGCATCCTGTTGAGAAAAATAAAATGAAAACAAAGCAAATAAAGAAAAATCACAGTGGTAATAAAACATGTGTAATAGCACATAATAGAAGTAACAGTTGTAGTATTTTCAGTCTGCTGATTTATTGCATTGCTTACCATGAAGTGATTCTTCAGAAATATCAACTCAAAGGCTTCATCTTAACTCATTTTTCTATTTCTGTCTCCCCTTATTTTCACCCTCTGAGTCCTTCCAGCCAGGGGAAATCACTTTCCCTGCTCACAACAAGACTGGTTAATTTTTTTTGATTTGGTCACTATCTGGCATGAAAAAAAGCAAAAGTATAAGCTGCTACTACAGTGGGTGCTACCTCAGAACAAAACTCCTACTAGAGAGGGCACCTGGAACCTGTCCTCTTGAGTTTTAGCAGGTCAGTAGGACATATTTCATCTTGGAGGGTGAGAGTGGAAAGTTTCTCCAAAAAGAAAGGCATTTCATAAAACTAGTGCATCAGAACCAATATTTGCAAAGTCACCTAGCAGAGAGAGAATGGCTCTAAGGCCACCAAGAACTGAACTGAAGGTATTAACAAAAGTGAAGAATAAGATGTTTTGATGTTCAAAGGAATAATAGAAAAAGGGTGAGTCACTGAAGTAGGGTTTTATAGTAAATCTGACCCATCCACCTTCATTACAGAGAGAGCCAGATGCTATAGAAACTTGAATCGAATTTAAATTTGAATTTGAATTAATCCCCTCATTCACATTCCATGCAAATTTGGTGGCTAGGAGTCCAGACTTGGGAATTAGACAGATACAAGTTCAAGTGCTTCCTCTACCTCATCCTTGCTAATGTGACCTTGGGTAAGTTACAAGCTTCAGCCTGCTCATCTATAGAATTATAATAGTATTGGTACCAGAGTCAGAAGTTGTGAAAATAACATAAGATGACTCATGTAAAGTGCTTAGTATAATGCTTGCCACTGAGAGTGTCAGTAAACATGAGCTATGATTAGAATAGCTCAATGAGCACTCTAATTATCATATGACTTCTTGGACAATGTACCTATAGGGAAAGAAGCAAGCACAGCTGTCTCATGAGCAGAAACCTTACAGTTTCTTTCCGTGAACTAAGAAGAGTTGACCTAGTTTAGGCAGCAGCCTTTGTGGGCTTGGTTCAATATAAGATTATCTCTCACTATGACTGCCTCATGCTTGTGGGATTAACATGGCAGATTTTGCAACCTCCAATGTCTAGAAAGCCTTCCTCAGCTAATACCCCAGGTCCACCTTGTTCTGCATTTATTTCTTCAAAGTTCTACACACCTTTCTGTTATGATTCCTTATTATCTATTTTTTTGTAATTTTTCTGTGGCTATATAATTTAGAGTGAATTTCAGTTCCTGATAGATTAATGTCATCAATATGAATTTGATTTGGATTGGTTTACAGCTATGCAACTGTGTCACCTTTGGTGAGGTTTCCTCATTTCTGAAGGCTATATAATGGAATCAACTTCATTAAATGATGGTGTTCCCTTCCTGTTCCCTTATTCTATCACCTGACTCAATCTGGTCCAGAATTTCATGTTTTCTTCTTATTAAGTCAGACCCCAAGCCAATCTCCTCCAAATAAGCAACCTCTATCTTAGAACTTTCAGATGTATGACCTCACTCTATATCCATCTATCCATTCATTCATCCACCCACGCAGGAGTTGCAGGGTGCCTGCTACATAGATGTTGCTAAGCAAGGTCTTTAGAATAAACTGATAAAAAAAAAAAAAAAAAAAAACATAGTCCCTGAGTTCACACTTATGTCTAACATAGAGAAAATATAAAAAGAGAAAAAAAATACAAGGAAAAGAAAATTAAATGTGCAAACACAGAATCCAGAAGTAGGCAATGCCCATTAGACATTGAAAGCTACCCTAAACCTATATTCATTGGTTCTTTCTCAATTCCCATTCATCGCTCAACTCATTGTTCCTGGCATTCTATAAGATCTGCTTCTCTAAAGGTGACCAAGGACCATGATATTAGCAGTCTAATCGACCGTCTTCAACCCACTTTTCACTAGAACAATCTGCTGCATATGGCACAATTATTCATGAATTATCTCTTAAAATTCTCAGCCGTCTTGGTAACAGTGATACTACTCTCTTCTTGTTCTCCTTATAATGTAGTCTGTTCTTCTTCATCTCTTTTATAAACTTCTCTATCCCTTCAATGGTGATATATCCCAGAGTTCCACCCTTGACCCAGTATTTTCTATCATCATCTTCTTGATGACAACAGTCATGGTTATTGGCTTAACTAACCCCAGATTCTGATGATTTCCAAATGATAACCCACTATCTGAGTATCATACTCCTATTTCCAAATGTCTGCAAGACATATTACATTCAACATGTTCAAAATGGAATTCTCCCTATTTCCTCTTATTCTCTATTCCTCAACACAGCTTCTCTGCCTTGTTTATGTCTGAACTCTTTCAATACTATCACTATTTTGGTTTTAGACATGAATTTGACACATCTAAGGGTCAAGTCATAAATTTAAAAGTTAAATTACTCTCTTAACTCCTGTATGTCATTAGCCAAGTCCCAGAGACCTTAACTCCTAAATTTTATCATATACTTCCTGTCTACTATAATCATCTTATCCATACCCCAGGTTCTTATCACCTTTTGCAATGAAATATGGTAATAATCTCCTTCATATACTTATTTCAAGAATATAAACAGTTTGAAAGAAGGAAAGAACAGATAAAAGTAGGAAAAGAAAAGAGGAGTCTAGAACTTCTTGATGTACCACTAAGCAAGAAAGTACTCTAAGAAAGATAAGAACATTTTAAAATGTCAGAAGAGTCTACTTGGAAGGGCTTCTGTAGCCAAACCTGGGACATTGTGATCATTAAACTAAATAATGGTAGTAACATAATTCGTTGAACAAAACAAGAATCCATGAGTCTATGCCAATATAAGAAATACGAATAAATTGGGGGAGAAGGCAAAGTTTTTTCTTAAAGAAGAATGTCATCTAATAAATATGAAAAGAATGATGGAATGAAAACAAGTCATTAGAATGTTAAAACCAGTGCATGAAAGTATGATGAGGAATAGGATATCTACATAATGTTCAAGTATCTTCCCACAAATTACTCATTGGTTAAAAGTGAAATATAGTAATGTTACAGTAGAGAAACCTGGTAGACACTGTCTTTTCTTTGGTTCTTTTTATGGCAATCAGATACTCTCTAACACACATATTGTTTCATTTTAATTTTGTGTACATCCTTTGTCATATCTGATGTTTTTCTTTTTTGTTTGAGTGTTTATGACCTGTCTTCCCCATTAGAATTTAAGCTCCATGGAGAGGGGAAGATTGACTTGTTAATTACTTTATTTCCCATATGTAAAAGATGCCTTGGCATAAGATAGAAGGTCAAGAAATACTTGTAGAAGAAATGAAGAGGTGGGAGGAGGAAGAGAGGGGAGGAGAAAAGAAAGAATGAGAAAGACAAAGAAGGAAAATGGGTAAGTGCAGCAGATAAGTCAACAGATAGATTAGTTAGTTGGCTCAGGTGAAAACTAAAGGAAAGACAACTTTAAAGATAATTGAGCAACTGAGGGGAAAAATGGAATTGACAAGACTGAGTGTAGGTGACTATTATAGTTGGACATTAAATTCTAGTAAATATAATTACATGATATAAAATAAATAAGCACATGTAGGAAGAGACTCAATGTAGAAAAATGGTTAAGCAAACTCTAATACATCTATTTAATGTTTAATGTTATAAATACATCTAAAATGATGGTTATGAAAACTATCACAGCATGGAAGAGGAGAGCTCATGATATAATGAAAATGGAAAAAGCAAGATATAATATCGCCCATGCGCCAAAATTACAACAATGTAAAAGGCAGAAAAATAAATACAGCAAAATGATCATAGCAATGGTGGAATTAAGATTAAACATCATTCTGTTTTTCAAAATTTTGCAACATGGTTATAGTTGGGAATTTTTTAAAGTATACAAATAGATAAAATACATAAAACTGACAGAAAACTAAGATATAAGTTAGCATAGTTTTCTCAAATGTGATAAGTATGCTCCAGGTACATAACAAGCTTATTAACTACATGGCTAATATTTATTTGCTGTTGACTATATTAAGCTCTTCCATATACAGTATCTTATTCAATCCTAACATCATGCCTATGAGAGAAATATCACAATTACTATCTTTATTTGAAGGTCAGATAGCTCAGTGTGGGCACTTGGCTCCGAGATGCCCATCATTATGTGCACGCATGCCATTTCTCATGGAGAGATGGCATCGAATCCTTCGCCTTCTCTCTGCACTGGGGCTGGCCCCAGGGACTTGCCTGACCAACAGACTGGGGCACCACTGAAGCTCTGGGGCTGCCTAGATGTCTGAAATGCTCACACTGGAAGGACTGCCCTACAAACAATTGCTCTGGGACATGTCAGAAGCCACATCAAGTGTCTGGCTACCTTTACTCCACCACGCTCAGAGACCCTGAGCCACCTGGAGAATCGTAAAGCAGTGAGAGAGAACGAAACCTGCTTCTGTGGAAAGAAACAGCCCAGAAGCGGCGCCAGATGGTAACTGAAGTAACCATCTTGGAGGTGGATCCTCCAGCAACGGCTGCTTCTGGGATCTATCTGGCAATAGATACTTGCAACTGCAATGCAAATGAGCTAAGGAATTACCAAAATTTACACAGCTCCTAAATGGATGAGTTGGGATTTGGACCCAGGTTGGCCCACCTGAAAAGATTCTCTGAACTGATATGTTAGAGCAGCAGTCTCCACCCTTTTTGGCACCAGGGACTGGTTACATGGAAGACCATTTTTCCACGGATGGTGGGGTGGGATGGTTTCGGGATGAAACTGTCTCACCTCAGATCATCAGGCATTAGTTAAGTTCTCATAGGAGCACGCAACCTACATCCCTCGCAAGATCAGTTCACAATGGGGCTCCGCGCCTATGAGGAT